ACACGAAGAAATAAGGTATATAAATAAAACTCTTGTATTCAAGTTATACCTGACAATATATTTTGATCTTAACCGGAATAAATTTGAATTTTCTAAATAATTTTTGTACAGAGAAGTATTTTCAATACGCAACAATAGTAAAGATAATTATGTTTCAACAATAATTATAAACTTACAACTAATACTCATTCTAAAGTCTCTATCACCAATTCAGAAGTATAAAAAAATCACATTTTATATAATAAATAGTTTCAATAACGTTAAAGAAACTAAACATTACAAACTGTTTGTTTCATTACCTTAAGGAAGAAAACATTGGTGTTTCAAGTACATATTTCCTAAGAAGGAGATATACATTGGTGTTACATTTTGTGTTTAGATTAAAAAATATAATGTAAATTAAAGAAACACTAGAGATAAGAAAAAGGGTTTAAAATCGATACAAAAAATATATGTATAGTGGGAATATATATAAAATAGATGGCTAAAACTTTAAAAATATGTAAAAAAAGGAAATACATTTCTAAAATAGATATATAAACTTTGTAATATAAAATATATGAACAAATTAATGCGTCGACGGGTATTTTCGATTTCATTTTTTCTTTTCTAATCATATAGCATTACGTATATTTATAATTAAAAATGTTTCTTTGACGTTCAATTCATTCGTGAGTTTATACAATCATATATGATATTGTGTTAATAAATTCATAGAAAAAAAGAATACATATTTTTTAGTTTGATTAGATAGTTCTCCCTCATACTATTTTTCTTTGTTACATCCCCCTGGACCATCCAAAAATATTCGTAGAATATTTTTCGAATGTGCAGTTCTGTCATTATTGTTCTAAGACACTCCAAGTTCTCGCGCATGCACCGGAAACTTATATGCATGACCTTGAAACATTTCTCCATCACTTTGACCCCAGGCAGTTAATAAAGAGAAATGAGAGCCTATCTGTCTCACGAAGACTTTAACCAATCATTTATTTTAACACTGTCTCGGGGTGTCAATAAAATAATCAAACAAAGCTTAAGTACGCAATGTCAATTCTGTCAAAAGTAATGACAGATCTTCCATTTGTTTACAAGATTTCAATTTCATTTTATTATCTTAACTTTCGTTTGCATTTATTCTTAGTAAGTTTAATTTAGGTTGGTTACTTAGTTTTTAAAGTTTAGTTTGAGTTACCTATTGTAGCAAAGAATTTTTGTGTTGTGCTAGTAAAAAAACTAAACATGGTGAATTATTATATTGTTTCGTTGTGTACAAATCATGGAAAAATTACAAAAGGGATGATGATAGTAAGTTGTCAAATAGTAAGTTGTCAGGAAGCAAACAATAATAGTATTTAACATTTATGTTGTTTCTGAAAATATGTGTAATAAATATTATATAATTAGTTTATAATTGTTTTATCTTAAACAACAAATAAATATAAGTATATCTAGAAAAAATTGTGCATTTGTTATATATCCTTTTATTTTTTAATAATATATGTGAGATTATTTAATCGGAAAATAGTAAGATATTTTCCAGTAAATTCTAATTAGTAACGGAATAGCCCGCAAGAGGCGCTAAACGGTATGTATGCAACGGGTGTCCATTTGAATTTCCCTCCAAAAGATGATTAGTAATGACCCCAGCCGCAAGGGGTCCTAATGAACGAAATTTATACATTGAGTTGCCTATCTATTTCTAATATTATATTATTTATCTATATTCTCGGGCTTGCCTAAAGATAACAAGACTACTCACACTATTTTTTCCTTGCGTTGGTACACGTAACGACGTAACTATGGTTTAGAGCATAGACGTATATATTAAATTAACACAGACCGAGCTCTCTGTAGCGATAAGTGACGACACTATGTTTTGTGACGTTAGGGTCGTTAGAAATAGTTTGAAACATAAGTTAACCCCTGCAGTGTATGCAACATATATGATGTGTATGTCAGTAATTAAGTAATCGCAGATGTGTCCAAACTGAACTTTGTACTCTCATTTCTACCTTTTCCAAGACCTATTTCCACGGTATTTATGATTATGAAGTTATGGGCCCAGAAAATGTTTAATAAGACTGAGAAGTAATTGTTACGCCAGTGTGTTTAGTTTTTACGATAGAATAGGTTTTGTAACAGAAAACAGTGCAGTGGTTTAGTTACAAGATGGCCGTCAATTATTTGTAGTCGATTCCAAAATTATGTGGCCGTGAGAATTATGAGAAGTGGTCGTTTGCCATGGAAAATTTCCTCATATTAGAAGGTCTAACTAAGTGTGTTGAGGGTGAAGAAGCCGGCACAGTGTTAATTTCAAAAGCCAAAGCAAATATTGCGTTATCTATAGATCCTTCCTTGTCATTTCGGATCATTTGAGATCATTTGTTTTATGTGCAAGCAAGCCGGTCATTTCATGACCGGCTTGAAATAAGATAAGTCCATTCAATGTTATCTCTTTTAGTACACAGTTCAATAAGTTAGATTGGATTCTGGATAGTGGAGCAACTGTGTATCTAACATGCAGACAAATTGGTTATTAAATCAAAGAGAACCTATTTTAAAAGATATTGTAATTGCAAACAGTACAAGACTCTCTGTTGTACTGTACATAGTTGTGGCGAAGTTAGAATTCATAGCAAAATCAGCATTCGGAACTTTGAAATAGAAATTAGAAATGTTCAATATGTACCTAATTTGACCAAAAATTTATTATCAGTTGGTAAATTAATTGAAAATGGGAATTCTGTTCAATTCGAGAAAGAATGTTGCAAGATTTACAATAAAGATACGGTTTTAGTTGCTAAAGGTTTCCTGAATAATGACGTGTACAAAATTGGTATCTCACAAAGTAAAATGTTTGTTGCTCAGGCAGTGTCTGGTGATGTATGGCACAGAAGGCTTGGACACATTAATTCTTGCTATCTGAACAAAATAAGTAATGGTTTTGTTGATAGTGTGAATTATAGCAAACAAACATTGAGAAGCAAAATTGTGAAGTTTGGTGTAAAGGTAAACAGTCTAGAAATCCATTTAAACATGTAGGTATTAGAGCTACTGGACTTTTAGATGTTATTCATAGTGATTTGGCAGGTCCGATGGAAACAACATCGATAGATGGTTTCAAAATATTTTGTGACTATGCAAGATGACTTTAGTCGCATGTCCTTTGTTTATTTTCTGAAAAGCAGAGATGAAGTATTTGATAAATTTAAAGAATTTCAGTGTTTAGTTTAAAAGCAAATGGGTAGGAAGATAAAGGTATTACGTACAGATAATGGTGGAGAATATGTCAATGTAGAATTTCAACGTTTTCTCAGAACACAAGGCATTGTTCACCAGATAACAACTCCTATACTTCCCAGCAGAACGGTCTTTCAGAAAGTCTAAAGAGAACATTAGTGGAAAAGGCTAGATGTTTATTATATGATGCAGACCTAGAGAAGCAGTTTTGAGCAGAAGCGGTGAGTACAGCTAGTTGTTTACAAAATAGATCTATAGTATGTAATTTGCCAAAAAGAATTATGAAATGTTTTAAAATAAAGAAACATGATTTAAGTAATATTAGAATTTGTGGAAGTGTAGCAATGAGTCATATCCCTAAAGAAAATAGATCAAAGTGGGATAAGAAGCCGATATGATATTATTCATAAGAATTTAAAGTCCCAAGAAGCGAACTTAGAACAAGAAGTCTTAGGTGAAGTGGTGGACAATGTTTTAAATTCAGTTCCGAATGGTCACATACTAAATAATGAAAAAATACTATGATTGTACTTTAGACAGCAATTCTGAATGTGATGATCCAAATGATAGTAACTATGTACCAGATAATGTATCCAACGATAAATCAAGAAGAATTTTACTGATTATGTTACTTACATAAGCACTACAGACAGTTTGAAAGAAGAGACATTTCCAGAGGAAGATCCCAAAGCATTAGTAGAAGCTCTATCTAGAACTGATGTTAGCATGTGGCAGAAGGCCAGGCTAGAAGAAATAAAGAGCTTAGGAGTAAACCACACTTGGGATTTGGTAGATTTACCAACGGAAAGTGGTTTAGTGGAGTATAAGTGGGTGTTTAAGGTCAAAAGTGAGAGTGCAAATAGAAAAATCTATCGTGCTAGGTTAGTAGCAAAAGGTTTCACTCAAAAAGAGGGTATTGATTATACGAAAACTTTTTCGCCTGTTGTTAAACATTCAACTTGGTGTTTGTTAATAGCATTTAGTGTATATATTGGTTTAGATGTTTCACATTTAGATATCAGCACAGCATTTTTGCATGGCCATTTAAAAGAAATTGTTTTTATGAAGCAACCTGAGGATTTCGTAAAACCAGATAATGACACAAAGGTTTTTGGAGCCAGGACCGTACCACCAATGGAAAATGTTATGCCATCAGTGTTTTGAAATGTCAAGGAATTTGATTGACAAAATTAATTCGTTTCCATTTGGGCAATGTACGTGAACACAAACGGGTCTTGATAATGCAGACAATGGAGTACCTGAACTATGAAATGCTGGAACATTGCAGCTAATTTCCTAGATTTGGCTTCCCCGGAGTTGCATCTATTGTCACAACTGAATATCTTCCAACTTTGCATCATTTCCACAGGAACAAAACAGCACTGAATAACTTGAGATAAGATGTATTGATATTAAAGTATATTATGTAAAATGAAACTTATTTGAAATATAAATTGTCATTTTCACTATTAGGCTTTTGAAGAAACTCTTGAAATTCTTGTGAGTTCACGTAAAACGCTGCCACATGCTACAAGTACCATAAAAATAACAAATATTTAATAAAAAATATAAAAATAAATTACGAGATTTTTTTATCTTAAGAAAGTTAAACCAAAACTATCACGAATGAACCGAACTCCTTGACACTTCATAATATCAAAGGAAATACCTTCTTATTGACTGTTCAGTAATAAACAAACAATTCATAAATATGTACAACTTGATACAAGTACAATTTTTAATTATTTAATAACATTTTATGCTTTAAACGTTCTGACTACTCGAACTACGTATTGTCGACATATAGGACACTCTGCTAGTTTTTTGCCACAGTCCGTACACGTTGCTATATGGCCACATTCCAGTAGAACGCAGTCTAAGGGTGCATCCATACACAATTTGCAGAGATCTTGGATGGGTAGGTTTTCTGGAATCTCTGTAAATTATTAAAGTAATAATGAGTCTTCCACATAGTAAACCAATAGCAGTATACAGTGATGAGTGCTTTATCACCCGGCTTTTTAACGTAAGAGGTAATGTAAGTGGTAATGTAATGTAAATTATAGGTTTCTATCGATTATTATTATATATCCCACCTCTACGAGCTTCATCTCATTTTATTTCACAAGGTAACTGTGTTTTCTATCGCTTACGTTAAAAAGCCGGGTGGTAAGACACTTATCACTGTATAATTGTTAAAACTGTTCTATAACGTGTTGATGTAGTAATTAAAAGTAATGAGATTTATTTAATCTATTTTGAATGTAAGAAATAAAAAAAGCAGATGCTATATAATATCCTAAAACAATGATAAAGATGTTCTAAAATAAATTTTATTTATTCATTTCTTGCATTGCTCTGAAAATGTTTGGATTTTACCAAAAAATTTTAAACATACCAATTTATTTTAATTTTTGTCTTAAATTTTGTAGTCATTTTAATCAACAAATGACATAAATACGTAATCTCAACAAGTACAAAATATTTACAATTTCCAAAAAGGAGATGGTCAATTTTAAATGCCCTCAACTTTCTTAGAAAGGATTAAAATTTCCAAGGGGCAGAACGTGTTCTGCATATTGTGAACCATTTTAGTTAAGATTAATAAGTTGTGTTTGTAAAGTTCTGTGATTATAACACGTAGAATTGTTAGCTCTATAATAAAAAGCGATATTAATAAGTGAACTTGTGTAATAAAAATGTACCTACATAATGTTCTTGTACATGAACATTTAACAAGTACTGTTCGGAGTATAGGTTCTAAGTATTGAGATATGACCGGAGTTGGAGAAGCAACTATTTATAACCTTTTAAATCAACGAAAGAGTGTAGGTATTACAGAAGCACCTAAAACGTCAACAGCGAGAAAACCCATTCATATAGACGATACTGTAAAACAATCGGTTAGAATAAACGTTCATTCATTTTATTTACAAAAGAAGAAGTGAGAGATCAAGTACAAAAAGCAAATAGACTGGCAGGCTGCCTTAATAACACTATATGGCGAAACAGACACATTTATAAAGCCAGTGTAAGACCAATATGTAAGACATATGCCTCAGAAACAAGACTCGTCACAACCACAACGCAAAGGCCACTGGAAACGGCAGAGATGAGAGTACTGAGAAGAATTACAGAAAATACGCTGAGAGATCGAAAGAGAAGTGAAGATATTAGGAGAAAATGTAATGTACAGAGTATAAATGAATGAACACAAAATATAAAAAAGAACGGAATAATCACATAAGCAGAATGGAGGCAGAAGAACTATCGGACGACCGTGCAGGATGGAGTTACAACCTTCTATAAAGGTATTAATCCGCCAATCTTCTTCTGCTTTCAGTACCCTGGCCGATTATCGAACGTTGGCAACAATAACTTTGTTTACGGCGGCTCTAAATAGGTGGTCTCTGGATACCATTCTCGAAGATTTCGGAGCCAGAATGTTCTTCGTCGGCCTAGGCCTCTCCTTCCGACGATCTTACCCTGTATTAGGAGGTGTAGAAGGTTATATCTCTCTGGATGTCTCAATACATGACCGAAATATTGTAACAATCGAATTTTTATCGTTTTTGTTATTTCTGTGCTCTTTTTCATTCGATGTAAAACTATTTCATTTCTAATAGTCTTTCTTTCTTTCAAAGGCCTCTTTCAAAGGCCTTTTTCATTAATGTCTCTGTAAGGATCCAGATCTAATACCTGGGGTTGGGAAACTGACCCTAAAGGCGGACGAACCGAAAAAATAGGTCAACGGCGTAAGGATGTAGAAGGCAAGGGGAAACCACTACATTAAAGATCCTTAATGGATATCCCTAGTTAATCATTATGGCTAGTACAAGATGGTTACAACAAGTTACTGATCATGATTTTCGGTCGTCAAGATCCGGCAGGGTAGACAACCAAAAGACTGTAGGGCTCCCCCGGTCGTTAATCTACGAAAACCCTACAAAAAGAATAAAGGTGCAAAGATCGCTACCTGGAATATTAAAACAATTTATGAAGCCGGAAAGATACACAACGTCATACAAGAAATGCAACGCATGTCTGTCAAAATATTGGGACTAAGTGAAACCAGATGGCCAGACTCGGGTGAACAACAGATTTTAAATTCCAAAATATACTATTCGGGAAATAATGATCCAAACCATCGAAATGGAGTAGCAATCATTGTTGATAAGAACTTATGTCAATCAGTCACTTCTTTCAGTCCTATCTCAGATAGAGTAGTTATGGTTTCTTTAACAATGATCCAACGAAAGTTAAATATAATCCAAGTATATGCTCCAACTTCCGACAAGACAGACGATGAAATAGAACAATTCTATAAAGATATACAACAAGCCCTGGATAATACAAAGCATAGAGATATCACGATTGTTATGGGCGATTTTAACTCAAAAGTAGGAAAAGGAGAAGTAGAAGATATTGTAGGGAAATATGGACTTGGTTTAAGAAATGAGAGGGGGGAAAGATTGGTGGAGTTCTGTCAAGAGAACAGTCTGGTAGTTACAAACACTTATTTTAAGTTACCTAATCGTCGACTCTACACCTGGAGATCGCCTGCGGATAATGATAGGAAAGTTATTAGAAACCAGATAGACTATGTTTTAATAAGAAAAAGGTTTCGGAACTCCATTAAATCAGCAAAAACATACCCTGGGGCTGATGCAGCCACAGACCACAATCCCGTTGTTGTATCATTCGATCTCCGATTTAAAAAACTAACTGCACGTTGCAATAAGAATCAAATACAACGTTCATTTTTGAAAAATTCATTTGTAAGAGATCAGCTATCCAAAAAAATTAACGAGGAAATAAAGATAAATATAATCGATCCAGACGAAGATTCGAACAGAAAATGGGAAACATTTAAAAACATAATGCTGAACCCAACGAAGGAGATTCTAAAAGGAAAGAAAAATAATAACACAACAAAGTCATGGATTAATGATGAGATACTGCAATTGATGGAAAAGAGAAGATTGTACAAGAACGTAGACATCGAAAAATATAAAGACATATATGGTGTAATTAGAAAGAAAATAAGAGAAGCCAAGGAAAAATGGTACTCAAACAAGTGTGAGGAAATAGAAGTACTATTGGAAAGGCATGATGACTTTAATCTACATAGGAAGGTAAAAGAACTGGCCGGCATCAGAAAAACAAACCACAGTAGTGTTCTATTAGATGAAAAAGGTAAAATTATCCTTGATAACAACAAGAAAATAGAAAGATGGAAACAATACATACAGGAATTATTTAAAGATGAGAGACAACCAGAAAACATAGAACTATACAACAGTAGAGAAACGGGGCCCAGTATAACAAAAGAAGAAGTCATGCATGCAGTAAAATTGGCAAAAGATAATAAAGCTACAGGTCCTGATGAGATACCAGCGGAAATTATAAAATTAATCGCAGAAGATCAAATAGATATACTAAAAGACTTGTACAACACCATATATGATACAGGCGTCATTCCAAAAGAATGGCTTAAGTCGACGTTCGTGACTCTACCGAAAAAAGCTAACGCTAGAGAATGCTGTGACCATCGAACCATCAGCTTAATGAGCCACACTCTAAAGATATTCTTGAAAATTATACATCAAAGAATTTTCAGAAAACTGGAGCAAGATATTAGTAACACGCAGTTTGGCTTCAGAAACGCAATGGGTACAAGAGAGGCCTTGTTTGCCCTGAATGTATTGGCCCAAAGATGTATGGATGTTAACCAACCTCTTTATGTCTGTTTCCTTGATTACAATAAGGCATTTGACAAAGTCAGACATAATCGCCTCCTACAGCTACTTCAAGATAAAAATCTGGATATGAAAGATATTAGAATAATATCAAACCTTTACTTTAATCAAGTTGCATCTGTAAAGGTTGGCAACGAACTATCAGAAGAAATAGAAATACAACGAGGGGTAAGGCAGGGATGCATATTGTCTCCGCTGCTTTTTAACCTCTATTCAGAAGAGGTAGTTCAGAAGGCACTAAAGGAAACATCAAGTGGAATTAAAGTCAACGGAGAACTTATAAATAACATCAGATACGCCGATGATACTTTAGTAATCGCAGAGTCAGTTGAAGAATTGCAGGTTCTGATAAATAAGATTGTAGACAGTAGCGAAGAGGCTGGACTTACTTTAAATATCAAAAAGACGAAATTCATGACCATCGCAAAGACACAACAACAGGACACGTTATGGATTAGGGACGAACTCGTTCAAAAGGTGAACAGATATACATACTTGGGAACAATCATAACCGAAAACAACGATTACACACAGGAAATCAAATCACGTATAGGAAAAGCCCGATCAACATTCAATACTATGAGAAAAGTACTTTGCAGCAATGATCTGAGTCTGCAACTTAAAGTACGAATGCTTAGATGTTATGTATTTTCTGTGTTATTATATGGAATGGAGGCTTGGACGCTTAAAAAAGATATAAGTAACAGAATAGAAGCGTTTGAGATGTGGGCTTATAGAAGAATTTTAAAAATAAGTTGGATCGATAAGGTTACGAACAACGACGTTTTAAAAAGAATGAACAAGGAAAAGGAGATATTAAATACAATTAAAATAAGAAAATTGCAGTATCTGGGTCATGTCATGAGAGGTGAGAGATATGAGTTGCTGCAGATCATTATACAGGGAAAGATACTGGGCAGAAGAAGCATAGGCCGACGACGTGTATCCTGGCTAAACAATTTGAGGCAGTGGTACAATTGTAACTCTGTTGAGCTGTTTAGAGCAGCAGTGTCAAAGGTGAAGATAGCCGTGATGATAGCCAACCTTCTTAAAGGAGACGGCACTTAAAGAAGAAGAAGGATCCAGCTCTCCATACCATACAGCAATGTCAATGTGGAGAATATGTAGCAGCGTCTTAATCTGATTTTAAGGTTAATCCGCCAATAAAAGAGCAGAATTGCTTATAAACAGGAAGAAGAAGAAGACTACCATAAAGAAATGACTGCTGATGTTTTTGAAGAATATTTCAGTCAAATGATAGATTTATTACCGACCAATTCTGTAATAGTCATGGACAATGCCAGTTACCATTCAAGATTAAAGGAACCATTACCTAAAACTATAATGTAATAATACAAAATATAATAAAAAATGTGTACTTGAACCAATCAGCCATAAGACAAATCTTGGAGATGAACCGTCAGAAGCGATCCAGATTCTGCGAGGCGTTAGACAAGGATGTATATGTCCACCTATATTATTTAACCTATATTCAGTGGAAATATTTAGTGAAACCTTGGAAAATTGCGAACATGGAATTCTTTTAAATGAAGATGGCTAAACTTCATCCGCTATGCAGATGACACCGTTCGTTTTGCAGACAGTTTAAACAGTTTACAGCAACTAATAAACAAAGTAAATGAAGTAAGTGAAAGATTTGGACTACAAGTAAACATATCAAAAAATTAAATTTATGATCGTCAGCAAAAATAAAATTAGAGACGTCCAACTGCTTATCAAGAATAGCCCAGTGGACGGAGTTAAACAATTTACCTATCTTGGAACAATAGTAAACGAACAATATAATCACTCACAAGAAGTAAAATGTAGAATAGAGAAGGCTAGGAATGCATTCAACAACATGACCAAACTCTTTAAAAGCCACAACCTTAATCTGGAGATAAAAGTAAGGCTCCTACGATGTTATCATCTTCTCGATATTATACTACGGAGTTGAATCCTGGACACTCACTGAAGCGATAGAGAGAAAACTTGAAGCATTCGAAATGTGGCTATACAGATATCGTGGATAAGGATAAGATAACCAACGAGACTGTACTACAGAGAATGGGGAAAGAAAAAGACGTGATGTATACGATTAAAAGCGAAGTTAGAATATCTCGGACACATAATGAGAAACGGCACTAAATACAGATTACTGAAAATATATCTTCCAGGCAAAGTATTCGGAGACCGAGGAATTGGAAGAAGTAGAATATCATGGTTAAAAGACCTGGGGAAATTGTTCTCCACAACAACAAAAAATCTATTTAAAGCATCAGTTAATAAAATAATTATAGCCAGAATGATCGCCAATATTCGAAACGAATAGGCGACAAAAGCAAAAGAAGAAGACCTAAAATTAAATATAAAAAGTAAATTTTGGATTGGCTAATAACCAAATAAATCGTAGTGCCAACAGAAGGTTTACTCAAAAAAGAGTTATTACAGGTATGCAAACAATATTCACTAAAATTTAAGACGTATAGTGAAGATAAAATAGCAAAAGAACATTTAGTTAAAGTGTTGCGATTACTGTAACCCCATAGAACTAATCTGTTTAATGAAATTCTGCAGAATAATGTGTAGAAGTGATATTAACAGACAGCCATTTCATAGAGATATCAGTAATAATGATCCCGTTAAAAACAGGTAGGGAAACACCTACCAGCCACGAAGGAAACTGAAAGATGAGAGGCAAGTACGGAAAAGGTAATTACTCTATTGATCTATTGTGGAGGATTATTTTAGACTGTAGACGATATTTGTCTTTAGGTGCCAAAACATTCGTCTTTGCCGTACTCTACTGATTTCCAGTTTTTTGCGTTTTGCAATAGGCGTGAAGAAATAACTGAATCTAATGTCAGTGACTAGCCATACAACAATAACAATTTTCAACCTCTGTCTGGTCAACATGGAACAGAATGGGACTGGGTTGTGCTGAACAAAATTTCTTTAATCGAACAAAAATGGATAAAATAACGCACAATGCATATATAGACCGATAACAATTTACCATTTTGTCCAATAACTCTTTTGTATTAGAATTATATGATTTTAGGAGAAAACTGAAATATTTTTCTTTACCTTTCTTTGAATCATTTGTATCTTCCCAAAGTCGTTCAGCTCTTTCTAACAATTCTGTCTTTTCCACGCATCCTTTGAAATCTACTCTATTTAAGGTTAATAATATTTTCAAGTCTTTTGATGATAGATTATGTAATTCTTCGGCACTGCCGAAATCTTCAATCTTCGGGTACCTAGGAGGTAGAGGGCTTCCTTGCGCTGGTGGCTCCTCCTACAATAAAATAGTAAATGATTATCATTTGGATAAGATTACTTCTTTTTTATTTTATTGTTAATGTTACATACAAGATTACTTCTATGTAACATGCTTTATTTATGATCTAGGAATTCTTCATACAAAAGTTTAAAACGTGATAGAATACTATAAGTTGGACTTTATTCGTTTCTTTTTACAATTATGTTGAAAACACCGTTTTTAGTGGTATATTTACCTCAGTTATATTCGTTCTGTGGTCTGGAGCCGTTGTAGAGGTAGTTGGTTGCGACTGTGGACTAGGCGGTGTGTGGCTGGGGTGATTTTGAGGTGACTGAGGTGTCGAATTGGACATCGGTGGATGTTGTGGAGATTGCGGTGATTGTGGAGATCTGGGTGTGGAGCGGGGTTGATCCTGTCTCGGCGGCCTACCTTGTCTTGTTGAATTGCCATCGTTTGTTATAATAGACTCTATATTACCTAGAACAAATAAATAAAAAATAATAAGTATCACATTCAATACATAAAAAGTTGCTGTTCGTTCGTTGTAATGTTATCTCCAAGTACAGAGTGATCAACTTTTGTGACCATCCGTTATATCTGGTATTATAGGAGATACCAAAAAAAAGTTATTCACAAATTTAGGAGATAACTTTAAGCCTCGCATTTTAAAATTAGCTACAAATATGCAGGGTCTTCCATAACATTGTAACGCATTACAGACGTTTTTTTAATGAAGCATCCTGTATTTTATTTTTAATTTAAAATTCGCTTCACTTCCTCGGAGTCAAAGTAAAAGATTTAAACAAAAGATACAAAATACACGGATAAGGAGACAAAGTAAAATATATAGACCCCATTTAAATTTTTCAAAGAATTGCCTCACCTTTTACTTTTTTGCGCATTGCAACCTGCTGCAAAGGTTCAACTCTTTTTTTAATTTCAAATTTTCTTTAAAATATTTTTTATTTATTGGACATCAAACTCCATCTCCAACAATTAAAATACTTTGAATCTGTCATGAGAGTAGACCCAGAAAATACGAAAAGACTTATCCAAGGAAAGTTAGAACGCAGAAGATCACAAGGAAGATCTCCAACAAGATATGTCGATCAAATTACAGGAATATGCTAAAGACCTATGCATGAGTTAAAGGAAATGACCAGAGTGAAAGATCTCTGGAGACGGTAGATTTTTTTGGAGATCAATACACCATATTCACGATGACCACTACACTCCTTCCAGGGGGACAAAACTGAAGGCACAGAAGTGAAAGAAAACACTTTTTATTTCACACAAGCTTTTGAAAACTTTATTAAATCTTGCCGTTCATAAGGGTTAACTGTAATAAAATATGTTGGTAGTTATAATGTTGCAAGGACCTTACAAAATTATTGTACTTACAATACGTTGTGATTGTACACTGTATTACATAAAAGTTTAGATTATTCATAAAATCGACGAACATTATTATACATTATTTAATATTATTTCACAAAACAATATTTAAAACAGCGGGGAGTTTCCTGAAGACTGGCTAGAGTCAACTTTTGTTGCCATACCGAAAAAACCAAAAGCAAAGTCTTGTGATCAACATCGGATGATAAGTCTAATTAACCACATTTCGAAGGCATACACCAAGGTTATTTACAACAGAATAAGCAAAAAAAAGCGAGGATAACATTGGAGATTAGCAGTTTGGGTTTCGGAATTCTCTTGGGTCAAGAGAAGCACTTATTAGTCTACAGGTTCTCATCCAGCGCTGCAGAGATATGAACAAAGACGTGTACATATGCTTTATAGACTACGCAAAAGCATTCGATAACGTAAGGCACGAAAAGATAATTGAAGTTCTCCATAAGATCGGAGTCGACTACAGAGACATTCGAACAATAGCGAGTCTCTATTGGGGTCAAACAGCTAAAGTGAAAAGTAGGATCTACATTGACCAATAAAATTGAGATCAAGAAAGGGGTACGACAGGGTTGTATCTTGTCTCCAATTCTCTTTAATATATACTCAGAAGAAGTATTTAGGACAGTGCTGGAGGAAAGCACAGAAGGCATAAAGATAAATGGAGAAATAATTAATAACATAAGGTATGCTGAAGACACTGTGATTCTATCAAGTAGCATGGAGGAACTGAGTTGCCTAATGAGTAAGATACAAAAAACAAGTGCACAATACGGACTCAGACTAAATATCACAAAAACCAAATAGATGTTAGTAAGCAAAACCAACAACCACCACAGCAACTGATATTAGACAATGAGAGAATTGAACACGTGGATTCGTACATCTACTTGGGAACAACAGTTAACTCAAATTGGATCAAGCGAAGGAAATACGTATAAGGGTAGAAAAGGCAAGAGCATCGTTCACTAGCATGAAGCAAATTTTCACCTCTAAAAGCCTCACCCTACCTCTCAAAATTCGACTTCTGAAATGTTATGTATTCCCGGTTTTGTTATATGGAATGGAGACGTGGACAATGACCGCAACATTGATGAAAAAAGTAGAGGCCTTCGAAATGTGGGCTTACCGACGTATATTACGTATATCCTGGACTAAGCACGTGACCAACGAAGAGGTACTACGCCGGATAGGTAAAGAGAGAGAAGTAGGAATAAGTATAAAGAAAAGAAAGTTGGAATACTTGGGTCACGTTATGAGACATAATAAATATAGAGTACTACAGCTGATCGTTCAAGGGAAAATAGACAGCAGAAGGGGTCCAGGGAGGAGAAGACACTCGTGGCTCCAAAACTTGAGGCAATGGTTCGGATTGTTATCAGCTGAACTATTCAGGTCTGCCGTAAACAAAGTCAGAATAGCCATGTTGATTGCCAACGTTCGAAAGGGACAAGGCACATGAAGATTTCACAAAAGTTAAAACACTACTACTATTTTTTTTAAATATGTCTTTGAGTTAAAACTAGACAGGAAACACCACATCAAATAAGACCTGAAGGTTATTTTTGAAATTACTTTTTTCTCTTATCGGTGTTTCGTTTTATAAAAAATTTTGCTGATTCCAAGTTGCAGTATAACAAGCAGCACGGTTTTCGGGTTGAAACGTTTCTCGAGTGAGTGAAATAAAGCTTTATTTTTCATTAGAAGAGGTTTTTGTCATCTCAATATCGTCTAATTTTTTATTTCTTTTTTTAAGATTTTATTTGGCCCAATGGAGAAAAAAACATCAAAGACAATCAATTTCGTTGGAAACTAAAATTGCAATTTTAGATCGCTTAAGAAAAGGAGAAGGATCTACGGCAATTGGAAAACATTCTAATTTAGGCATATCAATTATTATGTGTATGATGTGTATGTGTATGATGTATTATTACAGAAAGAGCCATCGCAATTTGGATTGAGGAACTAATTCAAAGAAGAATTCCTATAAGTGGTTATTTAGTCCAGGAAAAACCTCTGCAGTTTTATGAGAATGAAACAGTCGGAGCCACTATTTATAATTTCCCCTGATAAATAATTTTCAGCTAGCAAACGATAGCTAAACGGGTTTATAGAAAGAAATGCGCTTCATAATATCAAGATTACAGGAGAGTGCTACAGCAGATGAAGCAGCGGCAACAATATTTCCAGAGGAGCTAGCTAAAATTATTCAACTATTGTACCGATTAATTATTTAACGCTGATGAAAAGGGACTGTATTGGAAAAAAATGCCTAACCGTACTTACATAGCAGAGGATGAAAAACTGCAAGTGGACATAAAGCAAGTAAAGATCGAGTAACATTATTACTTTGTAGGAATGCATCAGGAGATCGGATGTTCTCTTAGTCTCTCTCTTATACCACATACTTTAAAAGGCAAATATTTAAAACAATTGCCAGTGATTTGGACGGCTAACAAGAAAACATGTGTGACAACAGCTATTTTTATCGAATGGTTCAATAATTGCTTCTTGCCAGAAGTAGAAGCCTATATGAAGGAAAATCTCTCGATTTTAAAGTTTTACTAATTATTAACAATGCAGCAGGTCAACCACACTTAGAACATCCAAACGTTCAAATAGTATTTCTTCCGCCCAATACAACAAGCCTTATTCAACCATTAGATCAAGACATAATTGCAAAATTAAAAAAATATTACATAAAGGCAACTTACAAATCCATCGTGAGTAAACTAGAAAATGAGCCTTAACAGTAAAAGACGTGTGGAAGGAATTTTCTATTTTTGATTGTTTGATTCATGTTGCATCTCATCATCATCATCATCACTGATCTTGCTACATGACCTGCCCAGTTCCACTTTAGTGTTGTTATCCTTTCAATAACGTCTGCTACTCCTGATCTTTTGCGTATAGTAGCATTGGGTATTCTATCACGTAGAGAAATCCCTAACATAATTCTCTCCATTGCTCTTTCCGCAACTTGTAGTTTACTCACTGTTGTTCTTGTGAGCGTTAGGGTTTCTGCGCCGTAGGTCATCACTGGCAAAATACATTGATTAAATACTTTTCTTTTCAGACACATTGGAATCTTAAACCTAAAAATATCCTTCATCCTTCCAAATGCAGCCCAAGCTAGGTTTATTCTTCTTTTCAGCTCGATTGTTTGGTTGTCTCGACTTATTCTGATCTCATGGCCTAAGTATTTACAGGAGTCAACTGGCTCAATATCTTTGTCTTCTATTGAGATGTTTTTGTTGTGGACTAAATTTGTCATAAATTGTGTTTTTGAAAAATTTATTTTAAGACCAACTCTTTTTGTGGCAGTATGGAGTTCTTGGAGCATTATCTGTGCCTGATCAAAGCTGTCTGCAACAAGAACGATATCATCTGCAAATTTAAGGTTATTTAAAAAATTTCCATCTACAGTGATGCCCTTTTCGTTCCAATCTATTGTTTTACAAGCGTATGCTAGCAAAGTTGTAAATAATTTAGGAGACATGTTGTCTCCTTGCCGAACGCCTCTTTCAATACGAAAAGTCTCAGTATCTTCATTAAGTCTTACACAGGCTGTAGCATGTTGATAGATGTATCTGATGAGAGATATGTATCGGTAATCTATTCTACATTGTGTTAGAGCTTGGAGCATTTCACTTTGATTGACCGTATCAAATGCTTTTTCAAAGTCGACAAAGACAAGTATCAGGGGTCTATTATATTCAATGGTTTTTTCAATCAACGACTTAATGGTTTGCAAATGATCGTTTGTTCCGTATCCAGCTCTAAATCCTGCTTGCTCGCAAGGTTGATAGAAGTCTAGTTTTGATGTCAACCTATTAGTTATTATCTTCATAAACAACTTATAAACGTGAGATAACAAGCTAATAGGTCTATAGTTCTTTAGCTCTGTTATATCTCCCTTTTTGTGCATGACTACTATAACAGCTTTATTCCACTGAGATGGTGTAACCTCGTTTGAAAGGCATAAGTTATATAATTGCGTCAATGCTTTCAATACTGTCTTTCCTCCTGCTTTAACTGCCTCAATAACGATTTGATCATCACCAGCT